GATGGATGGCGAAGAGATTGAGATTGTTCACAGCTTCAGTTTGCTCGGCTCCACGGTCAACACTCTTGGCACCAGCAGCCAGGAAATTAAAAAACGTCTTGCGATGGGAACGTCTGCTGTTAGGGACCTCTCTAAAGCACTCAAGAGCAACTGTGTGTCTCTGGAGACTAAAGTGTGTCTGATACAGGCCATGGTCTTTGCAATTACTTGTTATGCATCAGAGAGTTGGACAATGACTAGGGAGAATAGAAGGAGAATTGATGCCTGGTGCTGGAGAAAAGTATTGACTGTACCATGGACTGCCAAGAAAGCAAACAAATTCATCCTGGAGAGGGTTAAACTGGGCTACTCCTTGGAGGCAAGGATTCTGGGTTTTCGTCTGACATACTTTGGACATGTTATAAGGAGGGACAGGTCCTTGGAGAGGGACATCATGCTTGGGAGGGTGGAGGGACAGTGCAGGAGGGGAAGACCCTCTATGAGATGGACTGATTCAGTGACTGGGGTATTCGGGATGGGTGTGTCAGAGGCAGTGAGAGTGGCACAGGACAGAGCAGGGTTTAGGGCTGTTGTACATTGGGTCGCTATGAGTCACAAGCGACTCGATGGCACATAACAACAACCACCACCACCACAGTGTTCCTTTGCTCTGTTCACACAACAGCCTCTTGGTCTAGATGCAGGTTTTCCATGAGCTGTTAAGTGCTCTGGGATTCCCATTCTCAATGTCAACTTGTCTACTGTCTTTACATAGTCAATAAAGCATAAATAGACAGTCTTCTGGTATTTTTTACTTTCAGCCAGAATCCATCTGTGAATAAGAATGTTATCTGTGGTGCCATGGCCTCTTCTAAAACCTGCTCGAACTTCTGGCAGTTCCCTATCTATATACTATTCTAGCTGTTTTTTCATTGTCTTCAGCAGTGTTTTGCTTACATGTGATATTAGTGATACTGCTTGATTATTTCCATACTCTGTTGAATCACTTTTCTTGGGAATGGGAACAAATATGTATCTCTTCCAACCCGTTGGCCAGAAAGCTGTTCTCCTAGTTTCCTGGCATAGACTGGTGAGTGCATTCAAGGCTGCATCTGTTAATTGAAACAAGTCAATTGGTGTCCTATTGATTTCAGGGCCCTTATTTTTTGCCAGTGCATTCACTGCAGCTTCAAATTTGATTTGACAGTTTTCTCTTAAGTCTGATTCTAAAAAATATTTGTGTGAGAAGAACATTAAATTTTACAAAGTACTTTCCCTCACCATTTGTTTTGATTCTTGCATCCACCCTACAAATAGGCAAGGCAGGTGTTGATATCCTCCCCTGTATATTTAGATACAATTAGAATCACATAGCTAGTAAGTAGCTAGCAGATCCTCCATGCTTATCTAGGTCTTCTGATCTCTTAAACCCCAGACACTTTCTCTCTTCCTCCAACAACCTTCTGAATTGTTCCAAGTATTTCTGCTTTGTTAGCGGGAGAAGGGTGTTGTGATGGCCCCCTTAGTCCATAGGGTGCTGTGCTGCCAACCCAAAGGCCGTGCCTGTCTGTTGATTTAAATCCACCAACAAATAGCCCTATGAGAGAAATGTTGACAGTATCCTCTCTAGCAATTTTCAGTCTCAGAAACCCAACGGAGGGTCAGCTGTGAGTTGATTCCAACTTGATGGCAATGAGAGTGAAGCAGGGAAAAGGGTCCCTGGTGACAGACCCAGTGGTTGAAGGCTTGGCTGCTGATTGAAAGATACGCTGTGTGAACACACTAGCAGTTCTGTGGGAGAAAGATGTGGCAGTCTGCTTCTATAAAAGCTTGTAGCCTAGGAAGCCCGACGGAATCACTCTTCTCTTTCCTGGACGGTCACCTACTAGAGGTCAGCATTGATTTGATGGCAATGGGTGTAGGCAGGGAAACCCTGGGCCATCACCATTCTCCTGGCTAGGAAAAGAAGTGTGAAAAATCGACCCAATTTGGAGAACCATAGCGCCATGTGTGAACCTGGGGTAGTCTACCCACTCAGGCTCTGTCAGAGGCACTGGGACCCAGAACTTGTCCATTGCCCTGATAAGCTTCTTAGGGGAGGCAGGTATTAGCTGGGATTGGATCTTCTTCCCTGACATGCCCTTCACACCTGACCCTGCCATGAATAGGATTCCTTAGGGTAACTGGGGGTAGGAGAATGGGGTGTTCTCTGCTGGCCAGCTTCAGACCCACTCTTTGAGAGAATCTGGATTCCGACGAGTTTCTAGAACTGAGAGAAGCCCCAGATGTCAAAGTTTGAAGGTAAATGGTGTGATTACACAGGAGGGACCAGCTTGGTGCCAGCTCAGCTCTGTTACATAACCCAGGCACACCAAAGAGAGAGGGACCCTCTGAAGTCTTTTTAGGAGATGCAAGGCTTTCCACAAAGGGCTGAATTCATGCCCGGGGGCAGGGTGGTTGCAGAGAGCAGGGGGTAAGGGCAAGTTAAGGAAACAAGGACATAGAAGGACTTTCCCTTGCTCCTTCTCATTCAGCTTGCACCATGGACTTCTTACAACAATTACAGTTGCATCTGTGATTAGTGTGGTTTGCTGGGAAAATTGGTGAATTGGACCCATCTGCTCTGCTCCGCACTGGCTGTGTGGCACTGAGTAGGCCACTTCTCTATGGACCTTAGTCACCTCGTGTTTCCAATGCGGGGGTGCTGGGGGTGGTGTCTGTGCTTCTAAGATCTGTGGACTGACTGCCCAGATCACTTTTATAAGCCTGTGACATTGATTAGAGGTTTAGTGAATATCCTATGTGGTAAGTCTCGTGGCCTTCTTTATAAAAGGAGAGTTTTTTGAGGGCCTTTTATGTTCTTCCTTTCTGTGTCCTTACCACTAGATAGCACTTGGTTTTATATTTGTATTGCTTTGTGGAACCAGCGTGTATGTCATTATATCCGTTTCACAGAAGAAGCACCCAGGCTCTGCCTGGCCAGGGTGCCACAGCTGGTAAACGGCAGAGCTGAAATTCCAGGCATTTGATGTCACAGTGCATGTTCCTCCCACCAGACCACAATATCTGGGAAACGTGATAACATGAATTTTCAAGCTTTGTTCTCTCTGGTTGGTATAGTGGAATCATTTAGTTCAGTTCAACAAGAACATGTGGGGCCTTTAACATCCCTGGCAATGACCTCTACTGATTCCTTTTTGTTTAAAGCTTAGATTTATGCCTCCCTCCATCTTTTGATGAGGTGTGATATGTGGGGTAGGGTGCCAACCCCAGAAGGCTGAGTTAGTGCTGATAGACCATCTGCAGGGAACTCGGAGAGCACCGGATGAGCTCTGTCAAGTACCTGGGACCTCCTTCAGGAACCTGGGCTGCTGCTGTCCGCACTGAAAGGCTGACTAGCACAGAGGACCCCCACTGACCGCTTTGCCTCAAAGCAAGCATTGCCCTCTAGAGCAGGAGCTGGGTGGTTTTGCTCCAACAGAAATAACTGACTCATACCACAGAAGCTTCTACAACATTATTGTGCCCCTGGGGGTCTCCATTCTCTCTGTTCCCCCCCCCCAGATTAGGGTGTGGTGAGTCCTAGCTCTCTTTTTAGAGACAAATAATGTCATTTTCTTTTTTTAAGGTTTATGGCTACCACCTGGATGGGCTTCATGGTGAAATCTTCCCTAGTTACCAACTGGAATCCCAGAGCAGCCCCCATTCCCCTATGGACAGAATGAGAAGCATTTTGTAACCACGCACAGTTGACCATCATGGGAAAACTGGCCAGGCTGGGGGTGCAGGAGAGGCCGTTACTCCGGCCCAAGAAGCGTCAGTGGAGTCGCCTCCTCTTCCTTCTAGGAATGCTGTTCGTTAGTTCCTCCTACCAGCACCTGAGGGGCCCCTGGGGTCTCTCCCCACTGTGGGCAGCAGGGTCTTCTCAGCATCCTGTACAGCTGGCCAGCCAGGACCTCTCCAGGGATGGGATGGCGGCAGTGAGCGGTGAGCCTGCAGACGCTGTCCCTCCTACGGAGGGGGAGATGATGATGCCACAGGCCACAGAGGGCAGGGAGGAAGAAACACCTGGAATCACCATGGAGAGCACCCCCAGTTCACCCAGAGGAAAAGCCAACATCACTCCAGCAACACCAAAGGAGAACAGCCAACCAACAGCAACAGGCAAAGAAAGAGTGATGGTGAACACGCTGCCCCCCACCGGCAGAGCAGTGAACCTGTACAGTCTAACTGTGGGCAAAGCAGCTGGAAAGGATGACCCCCCGACACCCAAGGGAGAACCAGAGAGCCACTCCCCAACTCAAGTCAGAGAAAAAGTGAAAAAAGACACTGCATCCCCACTTGGGAGGATAGTGGACAATTATGCGGCATCCACACCCCTGAAAACTAGTAGTCACGAGACCGCTCCCAGCCCAACAGTGAGAAACAGTGCACCTAGAGCAGTGACCTACAAGACAGTGGGGACCAGTGCCCCCAGGAGAAAAAGAACAGGAACCACCCCAACTACACTCAAGGGAATAACTGATACCACTCCAATCTCCCTGACAAACGAGGTAGAAATGAACATCGTGACCTCTCCAAGGAGTACAGTGAAAAAGAACACCCCAACTCCCCCCAAAAGAGTGGAAAGTAACAGCTTCACTAGACTCTGGAGACAAGTGGGGAATAACAGAACGACCCCCCAGAGAGCAGTCCCTGAGCAGCCCCCCACTGTCTCTGAGGGGCCAGCACTGACCAGCAGCCCAGCAGAGACCAAAACCTCCACAGGCCAGAGCCTTAGGAAGTCTTCACCCCGAGCCAGCGAACCAGCCACCACCAGCTCAAGCAGGAAACCCACCTCGACACACAGCCCCTTAGTAACCCCCTGGGGCAGGGCAAACCCCACCACCCAGGTCCGTGGTTGTGTGATCTTGGAACGAGTGCCAGCTCTGCCCACCACCTTGTCCCCGAGGCTGACGACAGAGGAACCGAGTCCCAGCCCCTCAGTAGTGCTGCCTTCCAGCCAGCCAACCCTCCACCCCAAGGGGGAGTACCCCCCGGACCTGTTTTCTGTGCAGGAGCGGCGGCAGGGCTGGGTGCTCTTGCACATCTTTGGCATGATGTACGTGTTTGTGGCCCTGGCCATCGTGTGTGATGAGTTCTTTGTCCCCGCCCTGGGGGTTATCACAGAGAAGCTGCAGATCTCCGAGGATGTGGCAGGGGCAACATTCATGGCTGCTGGCGGCTCTGCCCCCGAGCTCTTCACCTCCCTCATTGGCGTCTTCATCTCCCACAGCAACGTGGGCATCGGCACCATTGTGGGCTCTGCTGTCTTCAACATCCTCTTTGTCATCGGCACCTGCTCCCTCTTCTCCCGGGAGATCCTCCATCTCACCTGGTGGCCCTTGTTCCGTGATGTCTCCTTCTACATCCTGGACCTGATGATGCTCATCCTCTTCTTCCTAGACAGCCTCATTGCCTGGTGGGAGAGTCTACTGCTGCTGCTAGCCTATGCCTTCTATGTGTTCACCATGAAATGGAACAAGCAGCTTGAGCTCTGGGTAAAGGAACAGCTCAGCAGGAGGCCCACAGTCAAGGTCGTGGCCCTTGGGAACCTCAGCAAGGTAAGGACAGGCTAGGCAGGTTTCTTTAACCCCTTTGGGTTGAGCAAGGAGGAGGGGAAGTCAAGGCCGAAGAGCAGAAGGTTCTGGGTTAGGCTGTGAGGGGAGAGTGCTCTAGTGTGTTATTCATTCAACCTTTAGGGTACCTCACCTCTGCCAGGCACTATACCCAATCATCCGATAAGACAGCTATAAATAAGATACCCCAAATGTAAGGGTAGAGAAATTAAACTCCTTCAAAGCTATGTAGTGATTAGGGAGTGGAGTCAACATCTGAACACAAGTAGTTGGTCGGGCCGGATTTTTTAAAATGATATTTGAGCTGGATTTTGCAGAATATCCAAGGAGATAACCAGGCAGGAGAAGAACAAATTGCTAATCTCTTCTGCGTGCGTAGAGTTTAGGTTTTAGCTGGCATCTTCACTTTCATTTTATCTTGTTTGTTCACATGCCAAGCTCAGTGACTTGGATGGGGTCTAAGCAGAAAGGACTTTTTTGTTTGTTCTTAATGTTGGAGAAGTTGGGATTTCTACTTACCCACTGAGGTTCAGAGCCCTCCATCTGTATTAACTGGAGAACAGATAGCAGGTGCTCCAATCCAGCCCACACGTTTCTTCCCAGGACTTCTCAGCCTCCCCTGTCCTAAATTCATTGATAGATTCTGTAATCTGGGAGATGAGATTAAGTGATCTCTGAGAACTTCATCCTCAAGTTTTATTATCTGAGACGCCTGAGTGAAAGTAAGTGGGAGAACATAGACTCCTTTTCTCCCCTGGTTATAGAGAGTGAATCTGGGAGAAAGACTGACTCAAAAATCTGCCCATTTCAGGTCTCAGAGAAGCTGCTGCTTTGAGCAGAATTTTGCGTGCCAAGTTAAAGGTTTTAGCTACTTAATCCGGGGCAGTTTTGATGAGTGGACAGGGTGGAGAGCGAATTTAGCAACACGTCCGGGAGATATGTGACTCAAGGGAGGTGAAACGTCTTTTCCTTCTCTAAAGGACTTACTTTTGAGTGTTTCTACTGAGTGTAAGGAGGTGTGAACTCTACTCCCATTCTGTCTTTAATTCGCTGTATGACCTTGAGCAGCTTCTTTCTTTTCTCTGGGGAAAAGACAAGTCTAATGAATTACTGAAAAGTCCAATCTGGCCTAACAGTCTACGATAATGGCTCACGTCCAGTTGAGCTTGGGCCTACCCAGTACAGTGGTTATTTGTCTGGTACGGTCAATAGTGCTTCAGTTCTTCACTTGCAGATGTCTCAGAAAGGAGAAAGGCCCTCTCCAGGTGTGTATGGCCTGCAGACGACAGAAGTCTGATGGGCTCTGGTGGTGCAGTCCAAATGCAGCTGCTCTGATAACCCAGAGCTGAGTGCGTCCAGTGGCGTCTCAGGAGAGGGCAATCTCTTCCTGTGGCAAGTCACAGCCTCTGAACCCTGATAGAGAGTTGCTATGAGTCGGAACAGATTCAACAGCAGTGAGTTTTGGGGTTTTACAAAAAATCTTTACCAAAGTGGATTGCCAGGCCTGCCTTTTGCTGCATGGCTGACCGGGCTCAGACGGCCAGCCTGATCACCGGCAGCCAAGCATGAACTGTTTGTAACACCCCGGAAACTCTTTTCTCATCAGAGTAAACATTTATCGTAAAGGCTCCCAGCCAGGGCTTGTGCTGCCAGCTGCCTATTGTGGAGACAGGAGAGGAGGACAGAGAACACCCCTCTTGCAACCCACAGAATCCGCCAGGGATAAACTAAGTGCGTCTGAGCTCGCAGTACCCATCTGAGCTTACCTCACCTGAGTTCTTTCTTTGTACTGCCTAAAGAGTAGGCAGCTTTCTCTGATTGTCAGGAAAAGATAGTTAAATATAATTCCCAATTTTGAGGTTCCTTCCTCTCATGTATTTTCTTAAACTTTCACTGCTTCAATGCTTGTAGATACCAGCACATAAGAAAACGAATGCATAGGAAACAAGTTTTAACAGGAAAAAATGCAGTTGTTGGTCATGCCTAGTTCCATAGTTTGTGGTTTCCATAGGGAGGTGTTTGCCTGTAGTTCTGATTTTATACTGCATTCATACAACATGGGACTATTTCTTCCTAGGGCATAAAATGAGATTAGGTGAAATCAGATGTTTCATGAGTTTTCACAAAGAACAGCATGATGTAGGCAGTGGGCACCACAGTGAGCGAGGCTAAGGGTGGTCTCTCAGAGGGAAAGTCCAATAGAGAGTTGGAGAATGAGAAGAGAAACCTCTCCATACTCCTTGGGGAACAGTGTTCCTGGGCGAGGGAACGATGTTTGTGGAGGCTCTGAGCTGGGAGAGAACTTGCTGTGCCAGAGGAAAAACATGAGACCCACATGGCTTTTGAGTAAGGGGCAGAATGGTGATGGGATAAATCTAGAGAGAGAGTCAGAACTAATCAAGGATGGCCTTGGGCACAAGGAGTGACATAGTAAGAATCATACTTTTTTTTTAATTTTTATTTTATTATTTGTGTGTACCTTCAAATCAGATCTGACTGGTACAGGAGAAGATTGTCCCTCCTTCCCCGACAGAGCATTTGGTGGATTCGAACTGTGCGCCTCTGGGATTGCAGTGCAGCTTCTTGCCACTAGGCCACCAGAGCTCCCCAAGAATCATACTTTTATAACTAACTGTGGTGTTTGTTGCTGTGTGCTGTTGAGTTAGAAATGACCCATAACTGACTTTCTAGTGGGTTTTCTGAGGCTTTAAATCACACATGAGGAGATTGCCCATGTTCTTCTCACAGAGCAGTTGGTGGATTCGAACCATACAGCTTCTTACCACTAGGTTAGCAGAGCTTCCATAGGGAATAAATTGTAGGTGTGTGAACAGAAGCAGGGAGTCCAGTTAAGAGACAGTTTTGCTTAGGGTTTTGATGCATTTTTGACTCAATCGGTCTTGGTCCATGAGGTGAAAATGGGATAGACCTAAATTTTAAAAATTTGGATGATCTGGAGTGCTAACTGGAATGGGAAAAATTATGGATAAGATTCATGGACTGATGAACTTGGAAGAGGTGTACTGAGTCTTTCCAGTGCCTGATGGAGGTCACTAGATTGTTTGTCAGGACTGTGGAGAATAACACACATTCAAACCTGCATCGTCAGCCACTGCCTTTGAGCAGCAATTCTTTTCAATTTAGCAGGACAAGAAGTCTGTTTGATATGCAATGCACATGCTACCCTTGTTTTCTAAGAAGGAGATGAAGTTTTTATCAGGATTCTGATCAATAATTTTTCCAGTTTCAGTTCACCCAGTTTTGAAAAATTCTGATCCATTTCAGTGTCACTTCATTGACCATCATGGAACCAGGCAAACCCAGTTTGAAGCTCTGATTTTGGGTTACCGGGAGAGGGATGACAGTGTAGTGGGGGAGATGTGTGTACATTTGAGAGATGCTCTGAGGACAGAACCAACTGCACTTGGTCATGAGGCTGAATCTAGAGGGTAGGGATGCAGAAGTCAAGGTTGATGCTTAAGTGTGTGGTGCCATTTACCAAGAAAGAGAAGAATCAAAAGTTCCCACTCCGGAAAAGTGACTTATAGGTTACAGGTCATCTTAATGTGGATATACCCAGGAGGCAGTTGTATGAAGGGGCCTGAAGCTTGGGAACCAGGTCTGTTATAAAATTTGTGAATCATCAAGAAATATATAGTAAAGTCAAGAACTTACTGATGCTACTTTGAGAGTGTAGGAGAAGGCAAAAGGGTCTAGAATGAAACTTTGAAGAACTCCAACATTCATTCAAACAATTACTGACTACCTCCATGTTAGGAACTGTAGGATCTGAGAATAGGTGTTAAGTAAGGGATAGTCCCAGGTCTCAAGGAGCTTAGCCTAGTGGAGGGGCTGAAGTTGATTCAGGTTTTGTGGTGCCTGCCATTTCCTTAAAGAAAAGAATATATAATCATTGGTACAAAAGCAGGTCCTAGGTCTTGAGGGCTATAGTCTGAACTTCTGCAATGACTGCTGCAAGCCTTTCAGCAAGCAAGGTTTTGTCATCTGCATAACGTAGGTTGTTGATGGGTCCTCTTCCAATCCTGATGCCACCTTCTTCTTCATATAGTTAAGTTTCTCAAATGATTTGTTCAGCATACAAATTGAATAGGTATGGGGAAAGGATACAATGCTAACACACGTATTTCTGATTCAGACAGCTGCTTCTTGGTATGTGTATAGGTTTCACATGAGCACAACTAAGAGTTCTGGGATTGTCAGTCTTCTCAATGTTAGCTATAGTTTGTTATGATCCACAAAGTCAAATGCTTTTGCATAATCAATAAACACAAGCATCTTCAACCCATATTGAAGATTACAGCCTTCAATATGGGTTACATATCAAAATCAAGAAAGTAAAAATCCTCACTACTGGACTAACAGACCGCATCATAATAGATGGAGAAAAGATTTAAGTTCTCAATGATTTCATTTTACTTGGATCCATAATCAGTATCCATGGTAGAACAGTCAATAAATCAAAAGTCAGGTTGCACTGTTGTAAAATGGGACTGACATCGGGGTTGGGGGGAGACTGAGAAAGATGGGATAGATTATGTATACAGCATTGAAACAGATGAGGGAGACAACTGTTTAAAAGGGATATGAGATTAGGTATTATTGTCATGACAGGAGTCCAGAACGAAGGCTGCATAATGGAGTGGACTTGTGGGGAGGGATTGTATAACAATGAAAGAATTTTTCTTTTACTTTTCAAAGAGAAGAGTGAAATGGAGGGGAGGTTGGGCCGGGAGAAAAGTGCAACAATGAATGAATGGAAATCCAAAATCTCTATAAATTGTCATTAAAACTAATTTAAAAAAAGACATGTTACATTAGGGAAAGGTTCTGTCAAGGACCTTTTAACCATTCTAAAGAACTAGGATGTCAGTTTAAAGACTAAGGTGTGAGTGATCTGAGTCTTGGTATTTTCACTTGCTTCCTATGTATATGTAAGGTGGACAATAAATAAGAAAGACTGAACAAGAATTGATGGCTTTGAATTGTGGGTTGGCAAAGAATATTGAATATCTAACATGGATTTCCTAAGAGCAAGCAAATCTGTCTAGGAAGAAGTGCAAGCAGAGTGTTCCTCAGAGGCAAGGCTGGGGAAACCTGGTCTCACTTTGGGCATATTTTCAGGAGGAACCAGTTTCAGAGAGAGCCATGCTGGGAGATTTGGAGGGCCAGTGAAAGAGAGGAAGATCCTCAAGGAGGTGGACTGACTCAGTGACCACCTCTATGGGCTTGATCTGTGCAGAGTTCGTGAGAATGGGGCAGGATAAGGCGGGGTGTGGATTTGTTGTTCATGGGCTTGCTGTGAGTCTTAGTCAACTCAACAGCACCTAACAACAACAACAACAGGCCTTGAAAGAAGTTCGTGGAGGGGAGAAGTGAACCCTGAAGCTTACCCTGAAGCTTACGTGCCAGAACCTCCAAGGTAAACCTTCTCTTTGGGGAAGGTAGACAGATAAATTGTTAAAATATCCTGTGAAAAGTGGTATTATGTAGTTAATAGCCAAAGTACTGATTATTGCAGAGTGAACTTTTCAACAGACCAGAGAATCACAGAAACCTGCCCCTGATAGTGATATTTTTCCAATACTTGGGATCTTAAAGACTAACTATTAGTTCACTGACTAAAGAAGATAGTAGGTCTTGTAGGCATATATGAAGGCCAGGAAGCTGAGAGAGTGAAGAAACTATTTGTCTGGTGGCCACTAACTACATGTAATTAGTGCACACTCGAAATGTGGCCCATCAAAGGTGAGAGGTGCTTTAAGTGTAAAATCTGTACCTCATTTGAAAGGCTTAATATGAGAAATACAACTAGAAAAGATCTAGAAATATTTTTATGTTAATTTCATGCTAGTATTTGAATATATTAGGTTAGTAAAATAGATTATTATAATGAATCTCACCAGTTCTTTTTAATTTCTTAAAAAGTGTGTCCACTAAGCAATTTGAAAGTACCTCTGGCTTACGTTATATTTCTGTTAGACAAAGACTATGCAGTAAAGGGCTAACATCCAGAGTCTCCACTAAAATGTAACCTGGACTCAGACAGGTCTCTGACTGAGGACCCAGTAAGTGTTTGTTGAATGAACAGAGCATGGCAAGTCTGCTTATGGTTCTGCCATCAGGGATTGGGGCGGGGGAATAGAAGTGTGAGAGCTGTTATTAGGGACAACTGTTAGTAACATTGCAGACTAGAGAGAGCACTGGGAGCTACTTTGTATTATCTCTTCATTCCACTCACTTTTACTGTTGGCATTGTGCATTTGCTACTGGACTGCTAACCAGAGGGCCACTGGTTTGACCCAGCCAGCTGCCCTGGAGGAGACAGATCAAACAGTTTATTCCCTTTAAGATTTATAGCCTTGGGAACCCAGTAGGGATCCTTGTGAGTCGGAATCCACTTGATGGAAGTGGTTTTGGAGTGTTTTTTTTGGGGGGGGGTGTTTGTTTACTTTTACTCTGCTACATAATAGGAAAAAAGATGGCTGCTGTGTTGTAATTTCATTACATGACTGCCCCCTCAAATAAAATCTAGCTACGCAGAAGATTGATCTTTGTGAAAAGTTAAATGATGGTATTAATAAGAACAGCAACAGAGACATTGCAAATGGCATTGCAAGTCAGAAAGTGCCAACTGGCAAGCAAATCCAGACACGAGCTCTGTAGGCCTGACTTCATCTTGGATTTTCTGGGGCTGTTCCATTGCCCAGCTGGCTGTCCTCCGGCTTCCTCAGGACACTAGCACTTATCTGATGGTGCAGGCAGTTTTTGGCATGACAATATGTGCTCACTGTTGATGTGCAGCTTTTGAGGAGGGAGGTGTTGGTGGAATGAGGTGGAATGGACGTGGAAGAAAAGGCCGCTGGGGAAAGCATTATGTAGGAATTCACCCTGAATTTTCAGGCAGATGAATAGGATTTGGGAAGACAAGAATGGAGAAGGTATCTTAGGCAAGAGAAAAGTCATAAGTAAAGGGGCAGGAGTTGGGATAGATCAGACGTATCAGAGGCCATTCACTTATTCAAAAGGTATTCATTCATTCAAACAGGCATTGCTGGACAGCGATCTTGTGCTGGGCACAACGTGGTGAATAAAATAGATACTATGACTGGGATAATTGGGATGGGAGTGTCAGAGACGGTGCGATTGGCACAGGACAGAGCGGAGTTTAGGGCTGTTGTACATAGGGTCGCTATGAGTTGCAGGCGACTCGACGGCACATAACAACAACAACAACATGTTCAAGGTGGTAGTAGAGCAATCAACTTATTTGGGTATTTATTAACATAAAATAAAGGGAGGGAAAATCTGTGCAAAAGGGAGCTCTGGAGGCCTAGTTGCAAAGAGCTGTGCTGTCAACCAAAAGGCACTTGGTTCGAATCCACCAGTTGTTGAGTGGGAGAAAGAGGAGCAATCAACTCCCCTGTGGTTTACTGCCTTGAAAACCCAGTGGAGGGTCAGCTATGGGTCCGTTCCAACTCGACAATATTCAACAACAGTGCAGAAAAGAGCAAGAATCTATAAATGCTTATAATATGGGCATCTTAGCTTCCCAGAGGAAGTAGTATATAAAATAGGAAACCAAAGCATGAAAAGTAGGAGGACAACGCTGTGATGAAGTAATTTCAAGATGAATAAAGGACATAGTGTGCCAAAGGGACAGTTGGAGTTACTAGTCTAGGGCGAGTCCAGGAAGACTGTGTGGGATTGAAGCCAGACTGTGGAATGCCAAGCCAGAGCTGGGTTCTTTGGCCATGTTAAACCATTTTCTGAGAATGAGTTACCTCTGGGAGCTTTTCTATGTCCTAAGCTAAGGGCTTCCCGGGAAAGAGAGAGAAGTAGGGAGGAAGAGTGAGAGCCTCCCCTGGACATCTCGTGACTCCTGTCCCTGTTTGCAGCCAGTTGATGGGGCCATTGCGGAGGAAACACCACCGGATAACAAGAAGCTGAAGGTGGGTGCCATGTGGAGTCTGCTCAATGGGGACACTGCAGGGTCTCAGCTGACAGCCACAGACCCAGGGCACCACAGCCCTGATACTGGAGGTCGTAGGCTGTGATCCCAGGAGTTCTGCGGCCAGGGTGAGCTGGGAAGGAGGGCTCTCCTTCACCGGAGGGAGTCTCACCTCTAGGTAAGGAAATGCTAGTTTGGAGGATAGGTCCCGGGCCTGCTGCATGACCTCACTGGCTCCCTGCATCTTTGGGCCTCAGATGATTCTTCCTCTTCTGCTGTGTTTTGGATGAAGCCATGTTTCCATTCCATAATTCATGCACATTTTCTTGTGTGACATTGATTGCAACCCCACAATCTAACAGCACTCTGCCTCTTTCTTCACTGTGCTCACTATTTTCCTTCATCCTTCTTTCCTTCCTTTGGAACTTTACCTCTGGACAAATACTGCCCTTCTCAGATAATTGATTGTTCACCTAAGTGCATATGTACCTCCTTTAAGTGTAATTGTTCACATTATAGTCCTGTCTGTCATTTGGCTGAATGTGGAGCAGAAGATGAATTCAATTTCAGGGCTGAAGTGTATTTGAAGGCCATAATCTTGGGGATTGTGTGAGTCCTGATCAGACCTGGAAAACCAGCCTTCGTTACTGAGTTTTGTTTTCATATTCTCCTCCCACTCTAAGACTTCCTTCTGTGACCCCTTTCAGAAAGGGAGCAGTGGTGGCTGGACACTGTCTAGTTCTTCAGGTCCCCAGGTCATTGAGGCAAGGTTCATGCAGCCTGTTGGTACTTTGGACTAAAACCTTTCTTGCTATCTGGAGTTCTGTGTTTGTGTGATCTAAAAAGTATAGTAACAGCATGGTCCAGAGAAGAACTAAAGAGAAAGAAAGGAGGGACACTGGATGTGGGCACCAGAGGTTTCCAAAATTGTGTTTCTAAATGGTCTTATTTAGGATCTGGGATGTACTGGGACGTTTGAGAAGAGAAGCTGGGAACCCACTCTACCTCCGACCTGAAACCTCCTCCCTTAAGTAAATGCCTTGACCTGCTGTGAAGGCCTGTGTCACTACAACCACTAGGTGTCAGAAGAGTTCAGACTGAGAGGGATGGTGGGGGCAGGGAGAAAAGAGACAAGAACTGGAGAGATTTGAAAGATTGCATGTAGAAAAAAGACAGAAAAAGAAATACGGAAGGATTGACTGGTATTGACTGAGCAGTCACTTGTCTTGGGATGTTCCTTTGCAATCCATTGCAAATGAGTGTTTTTTTAATGTGTCACTGGGAATGAATGTGTGTCACTATAGCACATCCTTGTGTCTGTAAGTACGAATGGGTGTGTTTGAGTACATGTGTATCTGGGAAGGTTTCTTATCACATGGGTAGAAAATTGGGCATCAAAGCCTTGGATGCTTGTCTTGACTCTTTAATTTATTCCCCTGTGACCCACAGTAAACATCCTGACTACTTTGGGTTTTCCTTTCACTTGATCTTAGCCAAAAGGCCGAGAAGCGATGGGTTTTCCTTTCATTTGCTGTAAAGTAAGGATCATAACCTTATGTATCTTGTAGGGGTGGGACGATGATGTAATATGATAGTGCTCTTCACTGACACGTGCAGTGGGTCCCTCTGTATTGTTTCTGCATGAATGTGTCTTCTAGGTGGGTATATATGAACCCTTGTGAATGTGGTGTATTTAAAAAACTTATATTGGTTTGCTTACAAAGTTCGTATATATTGTGTTTCACACTATTCTTCATTCACATTGTGTTTCATACAATCACTCCATTCACTGCACTGAGGCCTTCAGGAAGAGCTGAGGAAGCAAGCCATTCAGCTGGCCTTGTTTGAGGCCAAAGAGGAGGGGAGGCTGGATAAGGCTCTGTACATTCCCTCTGTTCTGTATGACCTCTGTGGGAGGAAGGCAGGCAACCAGGGAGACTTGTAGACTTGTCCCTCCACTGGACAGAGACCCACTGAGGTCTGTGTCACTCTCTGTCTTTGCTCAGCTCCCGTCTGTGCTGACCCGAGGCAGCAGCTCGGCCTCTCTGCATAACAGCACCGTCCGAAGCACCATCTACCAGCTCATGATCCACAGCCTGGACCCTCTAGGGGATGGTAAGCAAGGCTTGCCCAGACTTAGGTGGCGTCTGCCCTGTCTGCTCCTCTCTTCCTGCAGCTGGGGAGGAACTGAGGTTTGCAGGTCTTAAAGGTGGGTAAGGGTTGGGATGGGAGGACAAAGTTGGGAGAGGGAAAAGTGGATGATGAAAATGAGTCTGGGAAATGAGAGAGAGACAGAGGCAGATAGGGTACTCAGTAAGAAAGACTCACAGCAGCCAGTACTCAGGAGCATGGAGTTAGCCACGGCCCACTGCCTCTATGCCTTGGTGTGCATCCTTGTAGGATGAAGGAGTTCACTTAGCCTTTAGTGAGGCCTCAAGCACCTCGTGTCCTGCACTAGTCTATGCTGGGGTCACCCTAAGTTATTTACCCACAAAGGCACTGTTCATGTGAGGACTCCGTGCCTGAAAAGTCTCTAGTCAGGGCCTCTCTGGGTGCCTCCTCTGGGGCCACATAGCCCAGAACTTGTGGTAGCTCTGCCCTTTGCTTTATATTCATCTCTGAAGCCTGAGGAAGTCAGCCAGGAATCCAAAGGTCACTCGGCAAGTTGCCAGGATAATTTCTGAGTGCCATGTGAGGGCAAAGCCCACAGTGCTGTGGGATCCAGTGCCACTCTTTGACAAATGATGAAGTAGCTGAGGGTCCTGCCATCCGTTTTTCCAAGCCCTGCTTTCCACCTCACTGTTCCAGAGAGCTGCACCCATGTGGCACAATGATTTATTCAGTATGGCCCTTCTAGCCACAAAATGATTGGGGGGACTATGCAGATAAGGTGTTTGTGTCTCACCAAGAGGATTAGACAGCTTGCTAATTATGCAAATAAGATTCATTGCACCCTCTGTGAGTGGGACCATACGTACAAGGTGCATGGAACCTTAACAAGGGGATTGGTCAGTCTTTGCTGGCTTGCTAACTTTAAAATGAACCATCCCAGAAGTGGAAAGGGGCAGCTTCATGACTAGAAAGAAGAGTTAGGAGTGGAGCATGTCCTTTGGATATGACATTGTGTGCCGAGAACTTCTTAGATCCATGAGATGGAAACAAAGAGCTGTAATACCAGAGACAACACAAGATGATGCAAGCAAACAGCAACTGAAGAACCGGAGGCCAGGACCAACACACTGGGCTTCCTGGCCTGAAGGTGGCTGGCAGCTTTGCTGAGCCAGCTGAGCAGCTTTGGGCAGGGTGCTTCCTGGCAGAATGGGATGCCTCGAGGCTCTCATCAGCACTTACAAGCTTTGTGACATTTGCCTAGCCTGGCAGAGACTGAGAGGCTGAAGGCCAGAGAGAAGCCTGCCTGCAGGCTTGCCTGAGAAGGAGGTGTCCTGAAGGAGTAGGCGTGACCTGGGTCACTCCTGATCCTGAATTGTAAGCTGTTACTTCCCTAATAAATGCCTTCATCTTGAGTATAGTCTATGAGTTCTGTGTGGCTATTGCTGCCAATTCTTGGACATAGCAGAGAAATAGAGAGAGCTGGGGAGGGATGGCTGGGATTTGAAGAAAGGAGGTTGGTCTGATCTCTAAGTCATAGAAATCAGTCTTGGGCTGATGATCCTGAGTCTCTCTCCCTTGTGAAGTTGATACCTCATGTTTCTTTTTTCCCCCTATTTATTTTAAACACTGATAAACTGCTCAGACATTCCTCAGCAGATATTGTGAGAGAGGCCACCCCAACTGTTAGTTCTAAAAGAGCCCTTCAGGTTTCAAGCAGCAGGTCTGAAGCCCCAGCAGCCGATGGGTAATTAGCGCTGTGGCTTCCCAGCCTGGGCCCAGTGAAGGAAGCTGTGTTTCTCATCCATCCTTCACTCCCTGAGAAATCACTGATTTTAGAAAAGTTCCAAAGAGAAGAACTTTTTCCGGAATGGGACAGCAGGGCTCCCTACCTGGGACACTTCCACACTCAGCCTCTGCCAGCTGGTTACTTACCTTAACAGGATTATGTGATGTCCAGGCCGGGCTAAGGTCAAAGGAGATTGATACTAAAGAGATGATCCAGCCACACAGAGCTGGCCCGGGTAAAGGGAGGAGTGCGTCTAAGGAGATAAGCGCTGTGAAGCCCACAGGAGCTGTTCCAGAAGTCAAGCATGCTTGGGACATGTGTGTGACAGGGCACTGTGAATGCTGCCATGCTCCAGGTTATGGTCCTCTGCGGAGACATGGCCCTGATCTTACACCGGAGACCCTAGGGTCATCCTGGGCTGTGATGAGGGCCTGGTCACTTGGATTTTCCAGACATAAATTAGTGTTTCCAAGTAGTGGACCAGATGTTTCCACCCTTTCCAGGTGTTCTATCTTTCTACAGAGAGCTGATTAGTGAGGAGAGTGTCCTGTTGTTTCAACTCTCACTTCCTCTGTGAAAGGGCTTCTGAAGATTTCTGATGGTTTCATTGGAGTGTGTGCATATGTGTGTGTTTGTGTGTGAGAGAGAGACAGACAGAGGGAGAGAGATGGAGTAGAGGGAGAGAGAGTTATAAAGAGAGAGACAGAGAGAATTGGGGAAGAGACAGACAGAGACAGAGACACACAGGGAGAGAGACCGAGACTGCAGCTGACCCAATTTCCTTAGTGGGCAGTGAGGAGTCAGGATTTGTGATGAGGGGTAAGAGAGGAAGGGGATCCTGTGCCAGTCCTACCAGTCACGAGTTGCAGACATTTCCAGCCCTCGGAAGGGAACCAAGGGAGCTCGCCTTTGATTACAGCTACATATCACTCAACAGAAGACTGCAGAGCTTGGATTGCGTTAAGGAGGCGGTGGAGGACTCCCACTTCTGTTCTGAGGTTTCATTCTGACAAGGCTTTCCTGGGCAGGCCACCAAGACGCCTCGTGGACTACATGTCAAGGCAGAGCCCGTCTTTAGAGGCAACAGGAGCTACAGCAACAGGTTGACAGGAGGAAATCGCAGGCCTGATGATCTGTTTTCTGCCCAACCCTGGACTCAGGCAGAGACTTCAATCTCTCCAACTTTTGCAATTGCACGGCCTCAGTTTCTGCATCTGTATTATGAGCTAGATGATCTTTAGGGTGTCTTTGAACTCAGCCTTTTGGAGTTCTAAGTCTGATCTCTACAGATCTTTCCTGGGCAGGACAGCTGCTGTCTAGTGATTCCCATTGTTCTTGCTGTTGTAGCTAAAACTTAGACGGCACCTTCTTGGTGCCAGGCATTGCATTCATGTATAAATTAATTTACACCTTATAACAAAGGAGTCAAAGCTTGTCCACATCCAGTAAGCAGCATAATAGGGTTCAAACCCAGGCCATCTGGCCCCAAAGTGTGTGCTAACATAGCAATACGAGTGAGACCAGCACTCGCTGCAATTACATTTTTGTTTCTTTTGCCTCATGAACTCTCATATCAGTGCTTTTTGTGTGTCATGGGATTGCCTTTTGGAGATAAGACACTGAGGCTCAGAGAGGCGACATAGTCTTCCTACCTACTTAGTATTCACAGAGCAAAGCCAGCCACTGATTCAGAGAGGTCCCATGAACAACCTTGACCCAGCTCTTATACCGCCACTGTTCTCCTTAGCTGCTCAGTGGTGCAGAGGACTGTGACAAGCCCCTGGACACCAGACTCTAACTCTATGCTGTTCTTCCTTGAAATGACACAAGGAAAGCACTTTGCATATTGCCAGGCACATGGTCACACTAAGAAGAGTTGCCTTCCCTTTTTTCTTGCGTGGGAACCCCTATTCTGTACATATTACAATGTGAGCCTCCAGCAAAGCACGTGCAAAAGAATTTGGAATAATGATTCAGAAGAGGCCACAGAACAATAGATATCATTGGAGATACGTGACATTGGAGATGTCAGATGGAGTCTGGGTGAAAGCAGAGAATACCAGAAATATACTTATTCCTGTTTTATTGTTGTTGTTGTTATGTGCCATCGAGTTGTCTGTGACTCATAGCTACCCTATGTACAAGAGCTCTAAATGCTGTTCTATCCTGTGCCGACCTAGCCATCTCAAACACACTTATTCCCACTGCTCCAGTCACAGAATCGATCCATCTCATCAAAGGTCTTCCTCTCCTTTGCCGCCCCTCCACTCTGCCAAACATGATGTCCCTCTCCAAGGACCAGTCTGTCCTTACAACATGCCCAAAGTATCTCAGACGAAGCTTCAGAATCCTTGACTCCAAGGAGCATTCCAACTTCACCCTCTCCAGGACAAACCTGTTTGTTCTCCTAGCAGTCCATGGTATAGTCAATACTCTTCTCCAAGCACCACAGCTCAAAGGCATCAATTCTCTTTCTATCAACCCTATTCACTATCCAACTTTCTGATGCATAGCACACAATTGCGAAGACTATAGCCCGGATCAGGCACACCTTAGTCTCCAGCCTGACGTGGTTGCACTTCAGCACTCTTGAGAGGTCCCTCATAGCCGACTTTCCCAATGCAATTCATCTCTTGATTTTCTGGCTGCTGTTACCAAGAGTGTTAATTGTGGAGCCAAGCAAACTAAAACTGTTAACTATCTCAATCTCTTCACCATCCATACTGATGCTGCCAATTGGCCCAGTGGTGAGAATCTTTGTTTTCTT